AGAGGAGACTCGTAACCTTCCCGCCCATCCCGAAACTTTTCCAACACATGCAGGCGAATTCTCGCAGATTTGGGTATCCCGGAGTTGCCAGCAGGGAGGAGGCTCGGCAAACAAACCCACGTATCCCGGCACACACGCAGAGGTGCACAGACACCCCGGGAGGAACCGGGCCTCTCCGGAGGTGGCCGAGGGCGTGAAGGCAGCAGGCGGCCACACAGCTGAAAGGGACTCCCCAAACCCAAAACGATCGCTTAAAACCTCTACCGACTCGGAAGGGTAGCGGTGCCCAGAGGCTTTGCGTAACTTTGCCCACTGCGCCCCCGCGTGCAAAGGCGTCCCCTCGCACTCACACCCTCACCCCGCCCCATTCCCGCTCAGCTGCGGCCCGAGCCTGCCTTTGTACTTCAGTGACAGCCAAAGATACGCCGATCTGAACCAATGGTGGTGGATGAGGGTGTCAACTGTGTAAATCCCACTCCCTGACACCCCCAGGTACAAAGGGGGGAACACCCCATTGTCCCCGAAGGTGCCCCCCCTCTTCTCTCTGACCTTGGGTCTCCAGGTTCTTTACTATTGTGGACGGTAAAAGATAACGCACAAGGTGTTCTATGTGTATTTTCTACTGAAATCACAGCTTCCTTAAATTCTAGCCCTCAAAGCGTTAGGGGTTGAAGAAAGGCAAGTTATTTCGGAGACCAAAAGTACCCCTCAGGAAGGCGTGCGCGCGGCCTGGCGGGCGCCTCGCCGGGCTCTGCGCGGCTGGGCGGAGTGGCTGGATTATGTAAGTGACAGCCTTCCTTGTGCTCACCACCATCTGTTAATATCTTGATATTGGAAAGTTCGATGCCTGAGGCAAAGCCAGGGTTGGCGGCGGAGGGCTCCCAGCCTATGCCTTGTTACTCCAGCGCAGGGAACGTACCTGCCTTTGATTGTTTTCACCCACCTCCATAAAATCAAGTAGCAGTGTGATCCTTCAATCACCAACAACCTCCTCATCCCCTCATCCCCGCAGGTGTGTGTTTGTGGGAGACCCGTGATTTACTTCGCGGTCACCTTATTGTAATGAGTCTTTCGGATGAATTTATACTTTTCTGACAATTTTGTGCTCCTTTAGGTAGAGTGGAGGGATCTTATTTGGGGTGGGGGGGTTATCATTTATTTAAAAATTACTTTTTTTTTTTGGCCAGCACCCCTGGCTGCAAGTTCTTGTAGGGGTTATATTTCAACTTCTTTGGAGTGATTCGCTTCTGTTTACTTTGAAAGCTGTTGGTTAAACAAACATCACTCGAGGCTTCTAAGCAGTGGGGTTCCCAAGAGAGAAACGCTGCAGCTGCTACTTGCTACTGATCTTGTGGCATTTCACTTTCTTCTCCACCATTCAGAGCAAATCCAGGTTGGTTTTGGCGTCACGCTGGGCATAGTGGGAGGAGAGCAGGAGAGGCCGACCGTCATTCCGCCTCTAGGCAACCTGCAGCAGGCCGGTCTGCTCCCTGGGTTGGTTTTTCTTTCTCTTCCCTTTTTCAGGTTGGTGGTGGTGATGGGTGGGTGGGTTGGTGGGTGGGTAGCTGCCAAGATTCTCAGGCATCCTTTTCCGAAATCCACTTCCACCTTTGACTCTCAAGTTGGGTCTAGTGGAAGTCCCCAGAACTGGTATTAGGGTCTGATAACGGTTGTTTGTAAGGTTTTAAACTACTTATAGGTACTCCCTTCCCTTCCCCACCCCCACCTAAAGGCTTTAAGAAAGAACCGGAGGTAGGGGCCGGATACACTAAGGAAATGTCAAGGTGAAGTGTATTTAACCCAGAACCAGATGCACAAGTGGTAATTTCAAGTTTCACTAAGAACACACAGATACCCTTCAGATAAATAAGCAAACGCAACCTGCACGGAGACGGTGTTAGAAGACCAGTCAGAACTCATGTTAACTTTTAAGTTACTAGAATTGTGTTGGCCATTGAGCAAAGAAAGAGGTTGCACTGACACTAGGTTTGGCCTCTGGTTTCACAGATGGAGCCAGTATCTTGGCGACTTCTCCTCTCCGGGCCGACTGATCGCTTTTTCCTTATCAGAAAACAAACCAGGAGTCGTCCGAGATAGGGGGTTTGGGGCCTGACGCCTTGTTCCAGGGCAGCCCAAAACCTGGGAGAGCGCTGCAGCTCTGACCAGAGAGGTTGCCAGTAACCTGGCCTGTAGATCGCCCCGACAGTAGGGGACATGACAGGGCTCGGTGTAGGCAGCTTGCAGAGCTGAGCTGCAGACCCAGCTCGCTCGCCTAGCGAGCAGCACGCGCTCCTATTTCAACCAGCCCAGCCGCTTCTGTGCCCTATTGCGGGCTGCGAACCGCCGCGGACGAACGTGGCGCGCAGCGAGCCTTCGCCGCCCAGGCTGGGGGATGGGAAAGTTTCCTTCTTTGCCAAGAGGGTTAACAGGTCGTCGACTCCGGCCTGCTTTGTCCCCCCGGCATGAGAGAGGGCTTACGGAGGTGCACAGGGAACTTTTCCCGCCGCCAGCTCCCAGGCGTGGTGTGGGCAAAACGAGCATCCGAGCGCTGGGTGCAAGGGACACAGAGTTGCGGGCTGAAATTCAAGTCTTTTCAGCGTCTGAATCTTTTTTCTCTCGCCTTGCCTCCTTTCTTCCCTCTTCTCTCCTTTTTCCTTCCCTGGCCTCTTCTCTTTTGAATGTCAAACTGAGCAGACGGTTTGAAGGTGCAGAGAGTACATCTTTACTCGTACCAATTTACTCGCGGGCTGGCGAGTAATTGTGTATATGTTACACACAAGTTTTAAAAAAAAATTGGACGAGAAATGGGAAAGAAGGCAGCTCTGATTCATTCTAAGAACCCAAATTCCCCAGCCCAATACACCTGCTTACCTCGAAGAGACCCAAGAAATAGAAGCATTATTTCCATCCTGCACCTAATGGGCATGTTGACAGATTATTTCGGTTCTCAGCCTGAATGGTCACATCGCGATTAGTACACTTGATACAATAGCGGACCATTGGAAGTGTGAGTGGTGTGTATGCGCTGGTTTGTGTTGTTTCCATAATGGAGTAGGGGAGTGTCTGGGGACGTGAAAGGGGGGTGAAAAGAAGGTTAGGGATAGTCTCTGCTTATCACCGACACTAACCTGGCTGACCTGATTTTTTTTCTTCTTCTTTTCAATGTTTGAATTCCATACCAAAAGTTTTGTACAGAGTGCAGACTCAGATATACTAACATCGTTATTCTTGTTCAAAGAGAAGACTTAATATCCTGTTCACAGTTTGATTAATTAGAGTCTGAAATTGTAAATGTCCTGGAAAGGAGTGTAATGTGTCTATCCAGGAAGATGGTGGTAGTGGTCGGCCAGTCTTCTTGCAACACACCTCATAAATACTTTGTTGTCACAACACATGATTCGACCTTTGATCTGATTAAATTCAAGGGACACACAAAAAATACTTGTCCCGGTCCTACTTAAAAATGAGAGTCTAATCTACTAGGTATGAATGTTTCTGCTCCGAAGTTCTTGCAAGTCCTTTTATAGATCTTTAAGTCATATAAGGGCTGCCTTATTAAACGTGTTTACTATACCCAGTAAAAGGAACCGTCAAGCTGTGGCTGGAGGCTCTCTCTTCAGCATTTGTTACTTGCAGAGAGCAAGGAGCTCTTTAAGCCACATTATCTAAAGAAATCTTGCTGGTTATTTTTTCACCCAAAATGAATTTTCTATGGCTTTACTAAGGAGCCCGAAATTTTAGAGTTGGAAATTTCTTGCCTATTAAACTTTGAAGTTTGTTACCCAGACGTCAAAAACATGTAAATCCTGTGTTGAGCTGTTTTCTCTGGTCTTTCTGGGGTGAGTTAGTGAGGGGCAATGTTTGTAACATATATTTTTAATGGCTATCGTACCCATAATCCAAATAATATTGTTAGGGGTAACCGAGGGTGAATATTATTCTTCCTAATAATTTGACGGGCGATTGATTGGGACTCAGCCAATGTTGAGCTTTTCATATCAGATGCAGCAGACCCAGCGTGAAACCTCTGGCTTCTATTATTTTAATTCCATACCTACTTGTATTTTATGGTCACCTCCTCTTTAAAAGGAAGCAAGGGTGACACGTATTGTTGATAGCACCTATGACCGTTTACAAAGTGAAATGATTTGCGGATCCCCTCCACTCACCCCTAACCCCCCCCCTTTTCTCTAATATACTTTTAACGTGCCTTCCTCTATCCAAGTCCGAGGAGCGCTCACTCGCACGGCCGCTCAGCGAACTCGATCAGCTGTATCTGGGAAATACAAAAAAAAAAAAAGGGACCTGAGTCCTGGAAAAGCGAGCGCGAACCGGGCGCCGCTTTGCATAGTGCCCGCAGATGGCTCGCTACGGCCCCGGCGCGGCGATCCAGGCGCCCCGAAGCAATGGCAGGGCGGGGGTGGGTGGGGGCCGGGGATGGAGGCCGGGAGGGGGGAGCGCGGGGCCCCTCTCCCCTCCTCTCTTCCCAGCCCCTCACCCCCACCCCTTTTATTTTTTTTTTTTTCCTCCCAAGTTCTCTTGCCTCGCTATCCCCCCTTGAATCCGAAGGCGCCTCGCGATTGGGTGCTGGGGCCGGGTACGTCAGTCAGACTGTGACGTGCAGTCTTCCTGTTTCCTTCAGCTGTGTCTTAAAGTAAATCTTGTTGTGGAGCGGAGCCCTCAGCTGAGGGAGCGCTCGGAAACCGTGCACCATTGCAGCCGGGGAAAGAGCTGCAGAGCGGCGCAAAGGAGCTCTCGCCGGGTCCGCCGCTCCCTCTCCGCTGCGTTCCTCTTCTCTCCTCCGTCCCCTCTCCTCTGCGCTCTCTCCTCTTCCCTTCCCTCCTTTTCTTTTTCTCCTCTTCTTTCCTCTCCTCGCCCCTTCTCTCCTCTCCCCTCCCCGCCCTCCTCTCTCTCTCCCCTCTCCCTCTCCCACTCGCCCGGCTCGCTCACTCGCTCGCGCACAGACTCACCGTCCCTTGTCCAATTATCATATTCATCACCCGCAAGATATCACCGTGTGCGCGCGCGTGTGTTGCTCTCTCTGCCGGCAAAAAAGAAAAAAAAAAAAGAGAGAGAGAGAGAGAGCGAGAGAGAGAGAGAGAGAGAGAGAGAGAGAGGCTCCGTCCCACCGCTCTCTGCTCCGCGTAAGTATCTTCTCCCGCTCGTGAGTCCCCTCCCCTTTTCCAGAGTCACTTGCACTGGCTTGTTCTTGAATGAGAAGCAAAGAAAAGAGCCTCCCATTACTCACAACCGTGTAAACATTCTTTTTCCAGGAGTAAATGGGGTTATTTCAATGAATCTTAATAAAATAGCCTCTAAACAGTTTTCTAAGCAGGAGCCTCAGTGGAACTCAGCGCTCCGCTCCTCCCAGGTCCTAAGAGTAAGTGATCCGCTTTGGCTTTTCTTTCTTTCTCGTTCCTGCTGGTGGCTGGGGGTGGTGTTGGCCTTGAGGGTTGGGGGGAGGCTGATGTTGTTGGACTTGTCGCTGATCTTGTCACCTTTTGTGTACTGTTTCTGGGGAGCGAGTAGGCGTTTGCTTCCTTTCCTTCTTTCTCTCGCCCTCTCTTCTCAGGAGAGAGGACCGCGAGGGGGACCCGGTCGCTTTTTGTTCATGTGAATCCCCGGCCTCATCCCTCCCATCTCCCCGAGTTAAAACTCCGGGGCCTGTCCCCACGTCCTTTCCCTTTGTCTTGTTTATTATAGCTGCCTTTCTTCCCGGCTCTTCCAATTTGCTTGTCATTTGCATACCTTCCACTTCGCCTTTTTAACCCAGCAGAGGGCCGGGAGGAGGGAGGAGGGCCGAGGGAGGAGGGGGCCCTCTGTTACTTTCCCCTCAAATGCTGTCGAAGCTGAAATGTTGAAATCGGGGTTGGAGCGGCGGAGTGATGGGTCCCGGGAAACCAGCGCGGCGCCCCTCTCCTGAGCTCCCGGACCCAGGGCTGGGTCAAGTTGAGTAGGGTAAGACGGCCCCAGGAAGCCTCGGGGGTCTTGTGATGGAAGGATTGGGGCCCCGAGAGCCGGGGGAGACCGAGGGATTGCGGCCCGGGTGGGGTATGGGTGCGCTTGGGCAGCGGATATGGGAGGCAAAGACTCTCAGCCATCACTGGCTTTCTATGGTGTTGGGCACCTTCACTCTTGTCTTGTTTGCGTGGTACCTAGAGTCTGGCCCCAGTTCGGAGGACTGGGGAGGGGGGAAAGGAGAGAGGTGAGAGTAATATTTGCTGGGAAGAATAGTGAGGAGGGCGGAAAGAAGAAGGAAAAGCGGTTTTCTTGCCTGAACCGACAAGGTGGGGGAAGGGGGGCGATAGACATCACCCAAAGTCCAGTTTAGCAAGTTGTTGGTTCTTGTGGTGTGCCAGCCAGTTTAATTCTCCTGCTAAAACTGATGTGGGGTGGGGGTGGCAAAGAGGGAGTAGCTTTCCCCGCACTCAGGGTCTCCCGCCCCTTCCCAGCTTCTTGGGAAGTTGAGTCCCCCAGGCAGACAGAGAGCAGAAAGAGGAGGAGGGGTTGGTGATAGTCTTAAATAGCCCAAGGAGGCAGGTTGGAGTGTGAAACTGCTGTTCTTGGCAACCCGCCTGGGGGAAGGCTGGGAACTCACCTGCTTGTTTTTATTTTTCCAAGAAGGGAAGGTTTGTGTTGTCTCCTTAAGCTTATAAAAACAGAGCAAGTACAGGGTGGCCTCCTCTCAAAGTCAAAGCTAGAAGAGTCTCTTGTCTTGTTCTCCACCCCCTCCTCCTTTCCTCCCTCCCTCTGTGCTCTGTCTTACAAAAGACAGAGGAGAGAGAGGAGAGAGAGAGAGAGAGAGAGAGAGAGAGAGAGAGAGAGAGAAAGAGAGAGAGAGAGAAGAAAAAATCACTTGCTTTCTACACTAGGTAGGCAGAAGTCTACCCAAGTACGCATGGGCAGGGCCTGACAGGTGTGTTGTGTCAAGAAAGACAGGTGCAAATGCCCTCTGTGTCTGTACAGTTCCAGACCACAAGGCTTGCTTGAGGGTTGTAGAGGTTTATGAATTTATGGTTGTCCTGGTAAATAGGATTGTCTGGACTAATGGGAATGGACTGTTGTTGTGTTCTGAGCCCTGCCATGTGAGTTATTTGGGATGGGGGGCAAGTTGGTATGTATTTGTTTGTTTTTCTTGAGGAGATTGGCGCTACTGAGGCTACCTCTCAGGCTTCTGTCTGCCAGTCATTCAAAAGCACTTTAGGCAGCAGGTGGAAGGAGATTGACTTTCCCTTTGCTTCCCTCCAGTTTATGTCTATGTCCCAGGTCTGTGCTTGGCAGAGAGATCAAGATCCTTTGTGTGTGTGTGTGTATGTGTGTGTGTGTGTGTGTGTGTGTGTGTTTTGGACAGCCACCCACGGTTTGTAACTGCCAAAAATACCAAAGTCAGTTTGAAGGTGTTACTGGTGTTAAAGCTTATCTTTTAGCATGCTTTCTCACTGCCTAGAAAGAATAGGAATGTGTATAAACTCTTTCAAGTCATATGTTAAATACTCTCTAAAGTAGAATGTGCCTGTCATTTTATCAGACATGTGCCAGATGTCCTAGATATGACTTTGATGGAGAAGGAAAAGCTAAGTATATGAGAAGCAACTGTGCTTTTCTATTTGATGCGAGATTCAGACAGTCAGTTCTATGAAGAGTTTCTTGTAAGAACTTCTGAGTATTTCCTAAATGAAATGGGCTCTGTGCAATGAGGAAGAGCAAAGGGGACTATGCAAGTTAACCTGTCTGTGGATATGTTTCTGTGATAGTGAAATAGATGAAGTTAAGGACTTTGCCTTGATGAGTGAGAGAAGATGTTGGGAATTCAATGTAAGCATTATGTCTGGATTCTTGAAACATGACTTCTAAAATTTTTCTTTAAACAAGCTGCTTCTTTAAATTGAGTTGCATAGGAACAGGTTAGATAATAACTGGATTGGGTTGGTGGATTTTGTTGTTTGAGTAGTTATCACTGTTTTTGTGAAAATGAAATAGTATATGGAATTTGTTCTTTAAACTTGAACATCAAAGTCCCCTGCAAAGCTTTCCTTGTATGCTTTTTGAAGTTCTTTGGTGATTAAAATGTCATCTATGTTGTGTTCATTTACTTTATTTTTATAGGGGTTATCTGTGCTTGGCACTTATTGATGATATTTTATGTGTCCATTATGCAGAATTCTATTTAGTTTAATCACCACCTTGTGGGGAAAAAAGTCATGCATACATAACATGCATCTTTGTTCTCACTTCTTTCATTTCCTAGTGTTATTCCTCTACGAGCAGCACATATAATCTTAAAACTTAAGCTTGCCTATTCTGTAAGTTGCCAGAATTCCTCCTTTTTTTGTTCAAAGCTCAAAAAGGCCTTTTTCATTAATTTTCTATATCATCTCAGGCATTGTCCCAAATTTGCAATATTAATAAGGGAATCTTTACATTTAGGATTAGAAAGAAATCATAAAATGCTATTGATGTTATAGTATGAAAATGGATTACACGGGTTGTATTATTATCGAATTCCAATTAAGTATTTGTATAAATTGGAAGATACATATATGAGAAATTTCTTAAACCTTATTACCTAGTACATTCTAAAGCCTAAAAAGAAATTTAGAGTATTTCAATTTTCTGCAAAAATAAAAAAGTGTTTAAGTGTATTTTCTTAAGGTTATTTCTCACACTCTTTTATTTACCTGATTTGGTGAATTATTACTTTTGAAATAAGTAGAAATCAATATTTTAAGCATGTCTCAGAAAGTGTTCTGTGTTCATTTTGCAAGTGAAAAAAATATGTGGAATTTTTGATAGGATGGAAGAAATGTAAATGAAATGTTATGATTTGAAAACTCAATTGTGATAGGAAATTTAAGATTCTGTCAATACAATCTTAGTTAATTGAAGTATTACTTATAGCATGTAGGTTCTTCACAATAAATATTAAAAGCTTTCTTGACCTCAGATTAAGTAGAAATACCTCTGAAAGAAAAGTTGTTAATTAGCAGAAATGAACACTTGAACACTGAAGGGAACAGCATAGTGATGGGGGGTGGGGTGCCTAAATCAAATCATCTGATTTTTCCCTCATTGAATTACTGGTTTTCGGATTGATATTCTTTGCGAATGGTATTCCACTAACCAGGTTTGCCCAAGTAGATTAGAGGCCTATTCAAGGATGACTTTCTAAAAGAAGTAAAATGTAAGCAATTTCTTCAAATAATTTTATCCACAAAGACAGATAATCTAAATAATCCAAATAGGAAACCATGCCAACTTTACACTCTCCTTGTCTCATAAAAGATTTGTATGAACTATCTGGATAATTATCATAATGAAACACTTCTTTGTCTGGAATCTGGACTCAAGATAGTGGTGGTAAAAGTTGCATCCTCTTCCTCAAAGTAACTTCTTGGTTAAAGTGAAGCACTGAATCACTTGCTACTTCATATATTGCAGTGTTCCTTTGAAATTCTTCACTGAAAATTCTTTTCTACTAGCATTAAGTCATCTGTGTCCTTAGGATTCTCCACATTAAATGGAATAGCAGATAATTCAGATTTCAATATAGAATCTTTTGCAGTAGGTAAAACGTGACTCGGTCATATCTTGACATTTGTTCTTATAGTACCTTTTTTCTCAGAGGGAATTTGCTATGTTGAGATTTCTATTGTATAGGAGCTATTAAATCATTTGTGTAGATTACATGCCAGTTGGTACAACAAAATATTTAATGATTTTTAAATTTTATATAGATTTTTAACATTAATTCATTAATTAAAGAGGAAGTTATAGAAACAGAGTATGTATATTTGACCAATAATATAATTTGGGATCCTACATTAGTATTGTTCCTATATTAGTATTTTGTTGATATTGATATAAACAGTGCTGATGAAAAGGCTTCCTGTTGCTTGGTTAAATGCAGAATTCTTGTTAAAATTAAAATGTAAGATTCAATGGCAGTTCTAATTGAAACATTATGACTTAGTACATATGTTAAGAAATGCAGAAGTTTTTGAAAATCTTAATGGATAGATGATAAGGTCATTTGATAGCATCATTCAGACTCTGAATTGGGAAATTATGGAAACACTTGGAAGATGTTTTCAAGTGATTTAATTTACATTACAGCCATATGAAGTGCATTTTCTTATGTGGTAAATAAAAGTACGTATGTATATCTTGTTTATGAAACATGGTGCTACTGAAGTACTATGTTACCCAGTTACTGTTATTTAATCTTGCCTGTACTATTATTTAATCTCAGGTATACTATCACTCTACCTTTATTTCTAAGGTGAAATCTAAGCTATAGAGAGAGAGATACTAATTTATACCTATTAAAATAATACCTTGTCTTGCTGGATTGCGTAATTTTTCCCCTTTGTTTTGTCCTATTTGTTATGTCTCAGCTGGACATTTTACAATAAGACCTAAAAGTGTTTATAATCTCTTTGCTCCAAACAGAAATAAGTCATTATTTAATTTAAAAATGTTAACCCTTGAGAATTTTAAAAATCAGTTTAGTTTGGTGAGTTTGGAGGAAGCTGCAGGATATCTTGTTCTTAACAGACTCGATGAGCATGTTTAATTAACATTTGTTATCTGCTGAATATGAAAGTATTCTGTCTTTACACCTTAGAAAGAGTACCCGCCTCTTGGCTCTGGCCTGAGGCAGGGATGCAGCTGTTGATACCTAGGCTAGATGAGAGGAAGTGCAGTTGACGCAGAGGTAAATGGAGTTGGGAGAGGAAGGATGGCTGGGGATGACCTTGCGTTCATCAACAACACAGGCATGTCCTTTCTGAGCCTTTTCTACAGAAGTGCTCTTCCATAGCAAGATGGGCAGAAGGAAGGTCCAGGTTGGGTGCTAAGGTGAACAGGCAGAGAAAAGATACTACAGAAAGTTTATTCAGTGTTTTGATTGAAGATCCATATTGCAGGTGATATTAAAGAGAAAAGTGTTTGCACACACAAATAAAATAATGGCAATGAGCTCTATTTTTGGAAAGGTGATATACACGCTAAAGAGTCTTTTTTGTAACCCTCCCTATGCTCAAGGTGTTTCTGTGACTAATAGAGTTTTGAACTAGTTCAACCTTTTTCTTGATTTTTGTCTCACCTGACAACTATACCTGATTTATCAGCTCTAATGTGTTAGTGAAATATCTGTCACTGGATTTTTATATTCCTGAAAACAATTTTATTATTAGTGTGTGAGGAGTCTCAGTCATTCTGAATTTGACTTTGAACCCAATATTGAAGTTGAAATTTCTGTATCCATTCCAACTTCAGAAAATTTTATCCTGAAGTGTATAAAATGTTTTCATCTTCAAGCATGCAAATATGTATAGAGAGCAGCATCAGCTTGCTTTCATGATACCCTGAAGCAGGCTCTTTTTAGATATATTGTATCTTCACATAGACACCAAGAATAAACACTTGCATGATGAAATCCTTGTCGTGTTTGAAAAAATACATATTGTTGCCATGTAAGCACTGAGCATTTTCTTGATTTTTACAGGTTATTTCATGCTGAAATTATGCCTATTTGCATGGATAGTCATTCTTTAAAACTAGCCACAGATGCAGTCCTAGGGAGCACGTAGATGTTTTTACAGGTGAACCGAAAGAGATGGGAGCTGTTCCAAACGCTCTGCACGCTGCCTTTGGCACTAGACCCTGTTATTGTGAAGATGTGCTCTGTTAAGCAAACGTGAAGTTCAATATCAGATAAACCCGGCATGAAAAAAATATTTTCATTTTCTTCCTAAAATGTTCATTGTAAACAAATAGATGTGACATCTAACATGTCTACAAAATTTGGGGTTGGCACTGCTAGCTAATAAGGGACACAATATGTCAATTACCTTTTATAAAATGCAAGCAAGGATGTTCTCTTTTTGTAGTGAGTCCCCAAGAAACAATGGAAGTTCATATACAAAGAAGGTATTTTCTTTTCTCACTTATTTGTTTGATGTTATTTTCTTTCTTTCTTTATGTATTTTATCATAGTTGCTTTTTCTGTTTGGGATTTTTTTTTTCCTTTCACTTGGCATAGGAAATCAGATACACAAATGGTGTGTGCTGAAGAGTTTCTTCAGGCATTTGAAGTACTATTTGGCAGATATTAGCAGAAGATAGCTAGTACTGAAGAAATATATATCCTTGCCTACCTCAATAATTTATTGCTTTACAGATTGCTTTTAAAATGTGACAGCATCCTCCTTTCACAGTGACTCCAACTTCCTAATAATTAAAGCCAGCAAAAGGACATTGTGAAATTGTAAATATTCTCATAGTTACAATATGATATAGCAACAGATACCCTCTTCACATATGATTTCAGTAAGAAAAAAATACACAACTATGCTAAACTAAATTAGCAGACTTGGATAATGAGTATTTGTGCCTTTATTTCAATGTGAAATTGACCATTTATGTTTGAAAGATACTGACTGGGGTGTTCTTCCCACTTCAAATATGACAAAAACATTTTTAAAACTCAGTCATAATGCTAGATGTTTGCATTTACTTCAGTCTTTTTCCTTTAATAACACTAAAATCATAATTATTTTAATGCAGAAATAGAATTTTTCATCCAAAATTTCACACAGCCTCAAAATTTAACCTTATTTCTTCAGTGTAGGCCACTTTCATCTTCTTTTATAACATGAATCTCAATGCCCCAAATTTAATCAATTGGTTGTCAGAGACTGTGTTCTTATAATCTACTGTTTCTTCTGAAGATAAACTGTATCATTTTAGGCATTTGTGAAAGAGAATCATATTACTGGTGCTTAAGCAGTTTTTGCTTTTTTTTTTTTTTAATCTTAATCCATCTTAAACCAGTGGAGCAGAAATATTTAAAAATGTTTCATTTCAAGCAGAGTGCATAATAAATTGCAATAATTGTAATGTGCCATAAATCCCAGAGCCTATGCATTTTGCATTTGATTCAGGATTGAGGTCAGGAAATTTGGAGAAATTTAAAGAAAATGATTCATCAGTCCTTTTGTTCTGTTGGCCAGGGTCCCGGGATTCTTGAGCTGTGCCCAGCTGACGAGCTTTTGAAGATGGCACAATAACCGTCCAGTGATGCCTGACCATGACAGCACAGCCCTCTTAAGCCGGCAAACCAAGAGGAGAAGAGTTGACATTGGAGTGAAAAGGACGGTAGGAACAGCATCTGCATTTTTTGCTAAGGCAAGGGCAACGTTTTTTAGTGCCATGAATCCCCAAGGTTCTGAGCAGGATGTTGAGTACTCGGTGGTGCAGCACGCAGATGGAGAAAAGTCAAATGTACTCCGCAAGCTGCTGAAGAGGGCGAACTCGTATGAAGATGCCATGATGCCTTTTCCAGGAGCAACCATAATTTCCCAGCTGTTGAAAAATAACATGAACAAAAATGGTGGCACGGAGCCCAGTTTCCAAGCCAGCGGTCTCTCTAGTACAGGCTCCGAAGTACATCAGGAGGATATATGCAGCAACTCTTCAAGAGATAGCCCCCCAGAGTGTCTTTCCCCTTTTGGCAGGCCTACTATGAGTCAGTTTGACATGGATCGCTTATGTGATGAGCACCTGAGAGCAAAGCGCGCGCGGGTTGAGAATATAATTCGGGGTATGAGCCATTCCCCTAGTGTGGCATTAAGGGGCAATGAAAATGAAAGAGAGATGGCCCCGCAGTCTGTGAGTCCCCGAGAAAGTTACAGAGAAAACAAACGCAAGCAAAAGCTGCCCCAGCAGCAGCAACAGAGTTTCCAGCAGCTGGTTTCAGCCCGCAAAGAACAGAAGCGAGAGGAGCGCCGACAGCTGAAACAGCAGCTGGAGGACATGCAGAAACAGCTGCGCCAGCTGCAGGAAAAGTTCTACCAAATCTATGACAGCACTGATTCTGAAAATGATGAAGATGGTAACCTGTCTGAAGACAGCATGCGCTCGGAGATCCTGGATGCACGGGCCCAGGACTCCGTGGGGAGGTCAGACAATGAGATGTGTGAGCTGGACCCCGGACAGTTCATCGACAGGGCTCGAGCCCTGATCAGGGAGCAGGAGATGGCTGAAAACAAGCCGAAGCGAGAAGGTAACAACAAAGAAAGAGACCACGGGCCCAACTCCTTACAACCAGAAGGTAAACATTTGGCCGAGACCTTGAAACAGGAACTGAACACTGCCATGTCGCAAGTTGTGGACACGGTGGTCAAAGTCTTTGCAGCCAAACCCTCCCGCCAGGTCCCTCAGGTCTTCCCACCTCTCCAGATCCCCCAGGCCAGATTTGCAGTCAATGGGGAAAACCACAATTTCCACACGGCCAACCAGCGCCTACAGTGTTTTGGCGACGTCATCATTCCAAACCCCCTGGACACCTTTGGCAACGTGCAGATGCCCAGTTCCACCGACCAGACGGAAGCACTGCCCCTGGTTGTCCGCAAAAACTCATCTGACCAGTCTGCCTCTGGCCCGGCCGCTGGCGGCCACCACCAGCCCCTGCATCAGTCGCCACTCTCGGCCACTGCAGGCTTCACCACCTCCACGTTCCGCCACCCCTTCCCCCTTCCCTTGATGGCCTACCCATTTCAGAGTCCATTAGGTGCTCCCTCTGGCTCCTTCTCGGGAAAAGACCGAGCCTCTCCTGAATCCTTAGACTTAACTAGGGATACGACGAGTCTGAGGACCAAGATGTCATCCCACCACCTCAGCCACCACCCCTGTTCACCAGCACACCCACCCAGCACGGCCGAAGGGCTCTCCTTGTCGCTCATAAAGTCCGAGTGCGGAGATCTGCAAGACATGTCCGAAATCTCACCTTATTCGGGAAGTGCAATATCCTTTTATTTTCCCCTCAAGGAACAAACAAAACCCAAAACATAAAACAGTTTCCCCAAAGGTTAGGGCTACACAATACAATAGAACAATAATGCAATGAGTGTCTTCTTAAAAACACAGTCTCTCCTATTATTCAACAAAATAGGCCTGTGGCAACAGTGCAGGAGGCATTTCTGATTGCAGAGAAACTTCAAACTAAATCCACCTTTCACAACTTGTTAACTGCCATAAGGAGATGGTACTATTTTAAAAAGGGTTTTTGTTGTTGTTTTTGTTTTTTCTGCTGTTCTTGTATTATCTTCTCTCTCTCTGTCTTTCTCTCTCTCCTTTTAGAGTAGATTTGGAGATGGAAAAATCCCCTTGTAAATATCAAATTCCTGAAGATGTTAGGTTTTATTCTGGAGTAAGGGAGAAAGTCAGTTTTTAGAGACTTGAAGTTCCTTTAAGAAGAATTCTCACTATAAACTGTCCAACAAGGCCCCTGGTCCAGGTAGGAAGCCCTGATTAAATCTTAGGAAAAGCACGTTATTGGAGGGAAGCTGCTGCCTTGGGGAGTTAGATTCTAAGTGAGACTTTTTTTTTTTTTTTTTTTTTGAGGAAATATGCAGGTACTGATTTATTCAGGCGGCATCAGTCTCTTGTTCACCCAAGGTCTGTTCTTTGGGTCTGAGGCAGCTGCTTCTATGCATGATTAACCTCTGCTCAGCCATACACAGAAATCTTTTGTCCTAATGTACACAAAGCAAATTATTTTGGAAAGCAAGAGAGCACAATTAGATATAAAACTCAGCTGTATTCAACTTAAAAATGGCTCTCTTTTATGACACATTTAAATTCTGAACCTAACTTTTATGTGCAGTTAGATTTTTCAGCAGACCTAGCCTGCACTCTAGCTATTTTTAACTCATGATTTTTTTTTTTCCTACACATACATCGGTCCTTTCAGTAAATTTTTGATATCTTGTGGTTGTTAGTCTTTTTGGGTAGTAGAATAATAACATTTGGGGGCAGGTGGAAGCATGTTTCTTATATAATACATTACCAGATGGATATAAAATTTAGCAATTAAGTTGGCTGTTACTAAATTGAGGATTTTGAGCAATCGTCTTGATGACTAGAGGTTGACATTTTAGTATCTAAGCCCACTCCAGAGACTACCATGTAAGTGCCAAGTCCCAGCTATGGTAGAAATATGTTTTCCGAGGTCATTCTCCTCGCCAACTCAGGATAGTAATAAAGTATTTGGTAAGGAGAATTGGAGCACAAGTATGAGACCCTTGTGTGGTTACACAAGGAGTCTCTTTCCACACTGAAAAAGGAGACATCTTGGGGAAAATGGAAAAGAAAGAGGTGGTGGTCTTAGATTTGAGTCTTGGCTTGGTTGCTGATTTCACTTTAGCCTTCAGAGGTCTAAAATTCAGTGCACTAGTCATGAAGTTAAACCATACCACGCACTGTGCCTTTTAGATACCTTGCAAGTAGACAAGGCGCTTTGGTCAAAATGATTGGAATTTAGCTGTTGGTGATGAAAAAGCAAAGTAAGGAGACACAATGGCTTGGATGGTTTTTCCCTTCTCAAGAATGGCATCTTTCAGAAATTCACACCAGCCTATTGTCTTTTGCAGTTCAGAGATCTCTGAGCTTCATTTTGAAACAAGTAGTAAAGAAATAGTGATTGTGTTTCTCTCTCTTCTCTCTCTCTCTCACACACACACACACACTCATGTGTACACACATAAAGCATGCATGCCCATGTTGATGAATATTTGAAGCCAGATTTCAAGTCCTAAAAGTCCATACTAAACTCTTGTTCATAATGCCAGTTAATGTTTTTTTAGCTTGGACTCTTATTATAATTATACCTTTTTTAAAAAAAGTTTGGTCTTCTAGGAGAAAAATCTTTTTGATTGCTTTAGCATCAGCAATGTTCATTTTCTCTCTCTCTCTCTCTCTCTCTCTCTCTCTCTCTCTCTCTCTCAATCCCCTGAGGAATTTAGAGGATTTGAATGGAAAGAAGTTCCTTCTATTTCTAAATATATGAAAGGCTGGAAAAAAAATGTAGTTGCTTCTTGTGTATGGAATAACTTCTCTGGTCTCCTATCAATATAAGATTCTGCTGAACAGTGATAGAGCAAAACACCCATGTTTGCCTAAAATGTTAGTTCTTTACATCTGGAGTTGTTTCTTTTGTGTTTGCTGAATGATTGGGCCCTCTTGTTGCAATTTTAATTGCATTTTTCACATTTTGCCCTTCTAACTTTTTTTGCCCTTCTGGTTCTTTCTCCTCTACTATATTGTACTGTTAACCATCCAGCTCATTAATAGATTATTTCATAAGAAGAAGAAAATAGACAAATCACTTTTTCACAATTCTGAAATAACTGAGAATCTGTTTGTTGGTATATTGGGTCCACTTTGCTCCTGTCTCTATCTCTGAATGACAATGAGTTCTTCCCTTGATTTATCTAACTATACAAAGGTCTACTATTCTACAAAATTATTTTGTCTGTTCAGGTATAGGCAAAATTCTTAAGCTTTGTCTGAAGAAACTTCTTAGGGCTACAGGGCCATATTTGGACATGTTGTACAACTATCTCTAGAAAAGATCAGTAGAAATGAGTAGAAGTGGAATGAAATGGCACCACTGTGATTACATTGTTATGTTTTTATTTTTACTTGGTGGTTTTCCAGAAGTTGTGGTAGTGATGTTCAGGATCAAACCCAGCATCTTGAATATAAAAGCAAGTGCTCTACCTCTGAGCTACATCCCCACTTCTAAATAATTTCTTTTTCTTTCTTTTGGTGGTGCTGATGTTTGAACTCGGGAGGACTTTGCTCTTGCTAGGCAGGCACCCTACCACTTGAGCCACTCCACAAGTCCCAATAATTTAATTCTTAAAGAATGCTTATTTCCTGCTCCAAAAGGTATCATCTATTTTTTTTGAACAAAGTAGCCAAAATAGGAACTATTAAGAATATCAACTTATCCACTAAATCCATTCTAAGTTGAGCACATTAAACATATATGTTCTAAATAATAGAGCACTTTACCTCATTATCCCCTCTGTAGGAAGGAAATTGTGAATGTGTATGTGTTAGACTGAATGTCAGTGCACCTGGTCAAAGAGTTCATGTCTTGGCTATAAAAAATGTGTTCAGTATCTTTGCAAATGAATCTATTTAATCAAATATTAAGTTTTATTCAAATTCCAAAAGAAACAGCCAGCCAATTGCTTTTCTTCATGATGTTCCTTGTCATTCATCCTCTTTGCATCTCAAGAAAAATAGCCTTGTTCAGGCCTCAAACATTTGCATGCACCCAATTAAAAGACAAGAGTCAGATTATAAGCCATTAAGATGTGCAGGTGAAGACATTGAGGCTGTTCTCTGTAACAGTCAGCCTTCCTGTGCTACTAGATTTTTAGGAAGAATGTTAAAAGATACTTGAAATTTAGAAAGGAAAATTATTTAGCAATATAAAATCAAAGTGCAACTTCAAAACATGGAATAGAAACAAATTTCTAAAATGTGATACAATCCACAAAAAAGTTCATCTTTCACACTTTTTAGAAGCCTTGTGCAGCCTTAGTAATTGTATTAATTATAGTGAAATGTGTAGATTAAAGACTGAAAGACTATGGACTCTCCACCATCCAACCTCTAGGACGAAAGTATAAAGTATAAGTGATTTTTTTAAAGGAATCTCCATAAACTATGCATCCCTGTGATTATGTCGAACTTCATAGTAGACTAACAACTCACTCTGTCACTTTCATTAAATGAAAGAGTGCATCTTTTCTCCCCATTTAAGGCTTCTAGGGAAAGGTTCTTAGAAATAGCAAACCAGAGAATAAGGAGAAAACTAAAATTCTTTAGAAAGTATAATAGGCACAACCATTTGCTTGTAGTTGCATCATGTATCATATAGCCACAATCCTGTGATTCAAATGGAAAAAAGGAAATTTCTTCTTCCAGCTTTTGCAACCTATTATTCTTCAATTTGCCTTTTGGCTGCCTTGGCTGTTCCTCCTGCTGCTGCTGTTTAGGTAAGGCTATATTGTGCAGGGTAAACAGACAACGCGTAGATTCTCAGGTTGTTTGTACACCGCGTTAGATTCAGCTGCACTACCCTGCTTCTCTGATCTTTTATATTCCTGAGCAGATGTCTTTCATTAATTTATGGATTTATCATCTTTTCTTTTTTTTTTTCCTTTTTCTTTTTCTTTTTTTTTTTACACCTGGCAGCTGTCTCAAGTTTCAGCAGTTATTGTCTATTTTGCATTACACATAGAATTGAATGTCATCTGTCTTCACAAAGCTATGGCTAAGAGAATTGAGGCAAAGCCACATGAGCTGCTGGGACAGATCTTGTTTGCGTTCTATCCCCCTCAGCCCACCCCCTCCCTTTACCTCCTTAATATTTATTTGTGCTCATTTTCTTTCCTGGCCTTGAATGGAGCTTAGCTCGTGTTCAGTACAGCTGTATGTTTACTGAATCTATTCCATCATGAGTCATTGTGCGTGTGTAAGTATCCAGGAAACAGCTAGTGCTTTCTTGGAAGAACAGTTGCTTTTCAGCACAAGCACTTAAAAGGGAAATTAACCAATTGGTCAGTTCAGATTTATTTTGAGGAGAAAAAAAGGATTATCTATCTGTTGGCTTTTAAATGTTTCATTAGCTATTTTTAATAGTTTATTAGAAACATATATTTTATGGGAATTTTATCTTGATTACACAATGAGCAAGTGATAAAGATTTATTCTATGTTCCATTTTAACTGATAGATTCCAAGTATTACCAACAGGAAACATTTTGAAGCAAAAATGAACTTGAGATATCCAAATCAGATTTTTTTTTCATTAAATAAAAAGCCTCTAAATCCTGATCAAAACATAATGGATATTTATTTTTTAAGAAATAAAAAATAGCCAAAACATTTTAGCAAAATTTAGATGAATAGAAAGCTTTGGGAAGTTTTGGTAGCTCTGTGCCTACAGAGAGCAAAACAATTTGTCTTTTGTATGTAATCCAATCTTGAAAGATTGGGGACTTAGAATTCAAAAAATATATGAGGTTGTTTTAATGTAGCTATCTGAAAAGAAAAGATTAGAACCCAAATCTGTGTCATTTGTCGAAGTTTAGACTTGCCTAAAACTCTTATCACAAGGCAATAGGAGACAGCTTGCAACTATTATTTCACTTATCCATTTGGACAGATGGTCCTGAAGTGTGCCGGGCTCCTTTAGTCTTCTCGATCAAGTCTAATGGAGGTTACTGGAGGGCCTTTCAGCTCTTTCCTTGGCACAAGAAGTATGTCAGTCATAAATTATCGTCTTTGTAATCATTAAGGACCTCAAACAAAAACACAAGTTCAGTTAAGCTGCTTTGGCTTACAGATATCAAAATCAAAATTTCTTTCTTCAGAGTTTATTTTCAGTTAAAACACACACACGCATACACAGGCACAGGCACAGGCACAGGCACAACCACAATACTTAAATGTTCTGTGTATGAACCAAGGTGATCTTTTTTCTTTTTAAATGACATGGAATGTGAAAGAGGATGTTAATTGGACAAATTCTCTGCAGAATATTTGGTTAAATACTCTGTTATAAGTAGTCAAGAGCTTATCAATATTAACTTGATTATGCATCTCTAGTACCTTTCTGATTCCCCTCCATTCTTTCGATTAGTCGTGCCACACTTAATTGGAGGTCATTAGCAAACCTTTGTTTTTCCTAAATGTCTTATTTATCTGACCTTTCTTCATAAGGTGTGAAATTTTAGTTGGGTAGCTAAGGATGTGTGCGTGCACAAGCGTGCATGGATAGGCACATTTTCTTTTCTTTTTTCTCTTATTTTTCTCAGACTCTCCTTTAAGAGAAAATCCTTAGAGAAGCTTCTAGGAAGGACCCTTAATTGACCTTGTGGGGGACCACATTGATTTTCTCCACGTGCATCTTCATTTCTGATAAATTATAAAGCCATTAATTTGCTGAGGAAATGGCAGGGCCAGGCTGCGGCACAGATGTGACCAGAGCCATCCCAGCTCGGAGTCTGCGGAGAAGGTGCCAAGAATCTGGGACAGAATCAGGAAGCCTGGATTGTTATGGTTAGCTTCGGATTCTCTTGGGAACTGTTTTAGTTGCCGCTGTTTACAGATCTAAAAGGTAATGATGTTTCCAGATAAATAGGCCTTCTTATTTGGGGTAAGTGGCCATTTATTGATCTGCTAACCCACATTTATTGATTTGTTAGCCCCAACTACTGTGTCACTCTCAAAGGAGTTAACTATAAATCCAGGACAGGCAAATTGCGTTTGGTTTTGGACCCTTGCTTTAACAAAAGCGACACCCCTCCCTGTTCTCAGTGCCAAAACTACCCCTCCCAAGTTTGAGTTGTTGTTTTAAAGGAAACAATTAAAGGACATAATAACGAGATAGGAAGAAATCAAGTCAAGAAGCCTTATTAGATTAGCACTAAAAGGTAAAATCTAAAGACTGCATAACTGTGTTCAAAATAACACTCAATATTTTTGCATATGTCATTATAATAATTTGATGTCAGCTGCAGAGTGTAGAGAGAAGAGCAAACAACGCACTGTAATTGCAAAGAAGGAAAAATGTCTTATGATAAGAGTCGTGCTGTCTGTGCTGGGTGCATTTGTCCACCTAGCAACAGGTGAATGTATGGATAGCATACAGACATAGCAGGTGAGGGGCGGGGGGGATGCACAGGGAGCTTGGCCCTCCTCACTGGGGCATCATCAAGAATCTGCAGCTGAATCATGCATCGTCCCCATTACATTTGGCAGTTCTTGACAGGTGATGGGCATTTTGAGAAAATGACAGTGGTGGATTCTACAGCTGGTGCAGTAGACCTTCCAGCACTCCCAGGGCTGCTTGGTGGGCCTCCAGATGTTCTGAGGGTGCATGGAGAGGGGGAATGGAGGGATGGGGCCTAGTGGTTTACGGAATTTTTGGCCTTAACCAATTGCATCCTACATGCAGGAAGGACTGTCACCCAATCACTTGAAAAAAGCAAAGCTCATGTTCTTTTATACCCGTTATCCCAGCTCCAATATGCTGAAGACCTACTTCTCCGATGTAAAGGTAGGGACATTTTTTATTATTAGGTGTTTTTCTTCATTCTTCTATGTATATAGTAGTGATTTGAACTCTCAGAAGTTAATGGAGATGAATGTGTTTATTAATCTACCTGTGTTGTAATTGATTGTACTTGTCCTTTTGTCTACTGTGCTAAGCAAAGATGCCATTTGTATTTTAAGACCAAAGGACTGGTTTCTAAGTCACATGGGTTTCCAGCGTAGTCTGGGAAACTTAGCCCCTGTCTTTACATGTTTCAGTTGCTTCCTGGAAGAAATTTCCGCTGGTAATGGATGGATGTGCTTTAGAGAATGTTTTTTTCTCCTTCCCTGTGCAGCAGTAAACTGTTTCTGTTTTTGTTTCTGTTGGTTTCCCCATATTTGTGCCGATGAAAGCAAACTCTAGCACCTCTTTTTCCCCCTGTCAAAAAGGAGCGTACATTGAAATTCTCTATGCAGTAGCTGCTTAAAAACAAAAGTGATGATTGTCTCTTATTTACAACTTAATTTGTTGTTGATGTAGAGTACACTGAGCATAAGGAGAATGAATAAAGTGACAGATTCAGGACACATTATTCAAATGAGGATATGAAAGCTGTCGGCCTACAGCTGCAGCCTCCCTCATTCTACAGAATATGGGGACCTCCTGGTTCTGTGTGTGTGTGTGTGTGTGTGTGTGTGTGTATTTTAAGTAATTGTTTGCATCAACTTGATGTTGTGTTAATCATCAGTAACTTTTTTAAACATAGATTGGGTTTTGATGGTGAAAATGACATGCGTGGTGTCATTATCAAGGAGCTTGATAAACATTACATTAGCTGAGATTAGTTTATTAGGGTTGGGTGGTTTTCCCCAACCCCTCCCCTGCCCACCCCCACATGTACAAGTTCTTATTTCTGCCATTGAGACCTCACAAGCTGCCAAAACATGCTCGCTCCTCTCTGCTCCCCTGCACACAGCTTGTCTGTGCTCAATACCAAAGTTGTGTCCCTGTCCCCATTTTGCAGGCCAACTCACTTCAGTTCTCTATGCTGTTGTTTTATTTGGCCTTATAGGAGAAGTTCTGTTTTCTCTCCTGTTTGCTTTTGAATTGTGTATCAACTTCAGCCTTTTATCTTTCTCCTTCCATGGCTGTGCTCCTTAAATGGAAGGCATGATTTCTCCTCATCCAGTGCCAACTGACTGGGCAGGATGGGGAAGGCAGAGAAAGCAGGAAATGTAAAGGACTGGCTAAAAACCAGTAAGCACACAACAGGCGAGTGCCACAGAAGGCTAGGAAAAGGGCTCTGGCTTTGTGGTGGTCAATCTAGAATAGATTGACTGAAGGGAATTTGTCAACTGGTTGAAGACTAACCAATTTCTAGAGCCTGCTAGAACCTGACAGAGGTGGTCTTCCAAGGAATCCTCCCATCCTCACAGCGCCTTTGATTCTAAGAGGGGGACACAGAGGAGAGGGAAGAAAGAATTGTGTGTGCCACATATGTGTGTGTATGTGTGTGTCTGTGATACCGCCTTCACTCCTCTTAGTATAGTTACCTGTGGTGTTGTGACAAAATTCTGACAACACCTTATTTATAAAGCACCTGTCATCCAGAAGGAGGCCAAAGAGCTTTACAAACTGCACACATAGGGATCACTCACCCACCATTGAAATGCAGCCACCTGGAGGGTGGAAAGTCCAGCCATTCTGAGGCAGCAGCATGGCCCAATAGTAGATATAAAGACTGGAAACACTAATGTTTTTGTGTGTGCATATGTGGGGTGGGAAAAAGGATAAGACGGGGAAGATTATTGATCTGTAGTTTCATAAAAACTATGTAAATACAGACCCACATAAAGCTGTTTCCGTTCCTTCAGAATATGTCTAATAAATCAGCTTTACAAAAAACTACCCACTTTGTATATTTATTGTCATAAAATATCTGAGTGAATATTTTATTTCAAAAATCGCTTGTACTCAGATCGTAGATTCTAGCCATACTAGAAGAGAAGCTGTTAAAGTATATGTGAGTCTGGCTAAATAACAATTATCTACTCTAATGGAGGGGAAACAGTAGGACATGTAATACAAAACAGAAAATCACTGAAGGTCAGTTCTCTTTCATTTTTTGAATGAATTATACATTTTTAAATTTCCTAATTGGTTTTATTTGGCTACTAATAAATTAATTTGGATTCCCTGAGCTTATATTGGTAAGAACAGAAAGTTATGCATAGAAGGGTAAAGTCTATCTAAGCAAGATGTTCCCAAAACTTTCTTAAAACAATGGCCAAGCATTGTTCCTTAATGTTAAGGATGATTTTGAATGTTCAATATTATATATGTATACACACACACACACACACACACACACACACACACATATACATGTATGTATATATTATGGTATGCTATATATTATAAGTACTTATGTCTATATAGATATATGTAAATGTGGGTATTTCTTTGCAAATCAAAAAAGCTAGATATTTCTCTACCTATGAATACACATTCCCAAATTTTATTTTGGAGGCTTCAAGAAACCACTACAGAAATGAGAGAGCCCAGGAAATTGGGAAAGGGACCTTAGGATATTTTCAGAAATGAAACCATGTATCAGGTATCTTGAAAAATACATAGCATCTGGGGACCAAGTGATACTTGTCCAAATAACATAGCCTATACTTGATCTTATACAGTTCCCAATTCTAGTAAAACAAATGTGTAAAAAAAAGCAGGAGAACATCATGAGCAGAAAATGTTTTGTTTCATGAATAAGATGTAATCTAGATCAGGTCATCAAAGCCACAGATAGAGGACAGTGCAAAAGGAAGTTGTAAGCCAAGCCAGGGGAATGTACCGCCTATGTGTTTCCCCCTGGGCAAGGCTACAGAGCTTAAATCTCAAGTGACTTCCATTGGGGAAGGAGGTAGAGGCTTTTCAATTATCTGGGGAAGAAAGAGGTTGGAGGAAATTATACACAACGTAGAGATGTTGGTGCAATGGTGGTGGATTCTGAGGCTGAACTTTAGGCTGACTTGGATTAGCCCCTAGAGTAAGAATCTCAACAAAGTTCTGTGTTCTCATGGAGAGGCCAACTTCATAGCCTCACAGTGACATTTAGCCAGACAAAAAAGCTCAGCTCCTCAGGGCTTCAAATCCTTTGAGAAGGGCGAGTGCACCATGTGAGAGAGATGCCAGGGGTGCATGGGCCGCACTGCCTTCCTGTTCAGTACTGGGTGCTGATTTTAATGTATAAACTAATAACTCCTAGGCCACTAAGTACAACAGATTCAGTGTCATTTCAGCTTTGAAGAACAGACGCTCACAGCCTTTCAAGCCGGCAGTGTTAAATGATGTATCTCGTCCCCTCCACCCCTTGAGTCAACTGCTGCCTGGCTGGATTAAGGTGTCAGGTTGATTTGTTTTATACATCTTTTGACCATGCTCATTGAATATTTAGGAAGTTTCTCCAGCCCATATTGAGGCTGAGATGTCCCGTGGGAAGCATTAATCAAAGTCACAGAGACCCGTACACTGTGGAAACACAGCCTCTTTATTGTAGCGATTAGTTTCTGCAGTAACACATTAACACACTACAGAGCTTGCCTTTATAGAACAATTGATCCTTTTCTTGTAAGCCACTACAGAACGCGGGAAATTAACTCTTTAAAGTTGAACACTTTTCTTCCCCCAACATGAATATCTGGAAAACAGACAGCTTGCTTTTGCTTTTAGCCAGGAACCAAAAAGGGAGCACATTTCAGCTCACTTCTGGTGGAGGGAAACCCTGCTCCTCCAACGGTGGGGCTGGTCATTTCGCTTGTCTCGTGTTTGGGGAGTCCGTTGTTTCTGTCCATTCTTTCTCTCTGGTATTTCCATTCTCCAACAATAAGCTTTAAATCTCCCTTTATGTCCCATTCGTAAATAATGGCAAGTGCACTTACTTTTTTGTTCTCCCCCATTAGGTCATTCATGACCATTCTAGAAAAAAAAATACCCTTCTATTTTTTCCCCTCTACAGTACTCTTGTCCATATGAGACAATGTCTTGTAACAATGCAGAAGCCTAATCTCCATGTCAAAGCAATTTTCATTCCCCAGTGCACAGCCTGCTATCATTTTGTAATGTTTTGTTTCTTATTCTAAAAGAATTAAAAAGGAACAGTAAGCCGTCACGGGGGCCTCTAGTCCTTATCTCAGTGTCTGGAAATTTGGACAGTGTATTTTACTGCTGAGATAAAATGGAAAGAACTCCAAGTTCAGCAAATCGTAATGGGTTTAAGTTCTATTGAAATCGGCAACCAGAAGATCAGATAACGGGGGTCCTTCAGTTGTCTTTTTAATCGGGTTCCCCGCGAGGCTGAATAGAGACAGAGCAGACACACAGAGTGAAAATATAATTCTTGGATAGGTTAAGTACATGTTTGAACTCTTGCAAGCAGAAGCGATTTGCTGATGACTTAATCATTTTCTGGTCAATTATCTGTAAGGGCCCTTGCAACTCCATGGCAATTATGAAGCAAGTTGGCCTTTTGGGAGAAACACCAGTCTCCCTGCTTCTGTTTCCTTGTTACTTCCATTCTCTGCCATAAATTTTCATTCATTTATTATCTTTCTAGTATAGAAACAACTTTCTGTGTAGTAATTACAGCCCCCATGCACACTTTAGCTGTCATCTTGTTGGAGTCTGGATGTTCTCATGGCCAGTGTTTGATAAGTGCTTTTTGTTGATTTTTGATGAATGTACATCTTTTTCTGGGGGCCCAGGAAAGGGAATGCCTGTGATGACAAAAGGCAGGGGGTGTCTGTCAGCCCGCCTGATATAAAGCTATGGATTTATTGGTTTTGACTTGGCAAGTTGAGACACATCTGTCCTTTACATGAACAGGGGACTGTCAATAAGGATGGTAACATTTGCAGTGCATCCAGGAAGACATCTTCATTTCAAAGGTCATTGGGAAACCTTGGTAAACAAAGTTTTAAAGCCTAATCATGTTATAGTAACTTGGCATTTTAAAAAAATGTATTAGAGGTTCTGTCTAGGCCATCTGTGTACTGTGTCTTAACCACACCTCCCAAATGGCATAGATACCAATGGAAGGGAGCATGGGTCCTATCCAAGCTGGCTTCAAGGAACAGATGAACAGGTACCAGGAATTTTTCCCTAGGGATGGATAGGGGACCAGACCTCACTAGAAATTAATACTGTGGGCAAACACTAAGTGGAATCATAGCTGGAAGGGCCTGGGGATCAACCATTACCAAAAAAAAAAACCAGATTATTCCTGTTTTATTGGAAAGTCATTTTTCTGCATTGAATGAGGCTATCATGTGACAATATGAATCCTCATTTTTAAAAAAGATGTGGAGCTGGGAATGTACTTGGTGAAAGAGCACTTGTCCAGCATGTGCTGGATTTGGTCCCTGGCAACACACACACACACACACACACACACACACCCAGTATCAGCGTGTATCATCCTATGGTACACTGATGTGGGTCATCTTTTGTTCTTGAGAGTAACAACTCTTCCTAGGATTCTGAATTTCCCAAGAACTATGCAAAGGTGCTGGGCATGGTATACATGCATGCAATCTCAGCACTGGAAGAGGCTAAGGCAGAAAGATTGAGAGTTCAAGGGCATCCCCAAGCTACATAGTGAGTCTCTGTCTCAAAACACCAATGAAGTATATTCATGTGAATTGCTCTACTGAAAGATGGACAGTTTTTTAAAGAATAGATGTTAAGGAAAATAGGACCCTGGTGTGATTTCCATTTTCAATATGTTTTATACTACTTTGTAAGTATGTTATTCCTCTTGCCACAATCTGGTGGGAAATAAATACATACTTTTTCAGGTAAAGAGGGGAGGGGAACTTTAAAAATGCTTCAGATACTTAAATAAATGGACAAAATGGCAATATTCTTACCCTTTTCAACATTTAAATTTAACAGTTCAACAGATGCATTACTTCCCAACTCATCAAGTGGTTTAGCAATTTCCGTGAGTTTTACTACATTCAGATGGAGAAGTATGCGCGTCAAGCCATCAACGATGGGGTCACCAGTACGGAAGAGCTGTCCATAACCAGAGACTGTGAGCTCTACAGGGCTCTGAACATGCATTACAACAAAGCAAATGACTTTGAGGTAGGAACTAATCTTCAGTTTTTGGTCATCTCCGTTTTCCTTGTTTTAAGACATTTATTGTCTCTAATGACGTCCCCAAAGCTGCTTTTGTGATGGTTTCTTGCATAAGCCCAAGTAGGGTAACAGGGGAAATAGCAATGAGGATCTTCTGGTCAGAATCATGAGGAGCTGACCACTCCCACTTCTGGTCCCATTCCCTGGCTCCTTGACTTGTGTGGAAGATGCACTCTTCCAAAGAAGAGAGGGGCAAGGAGCAAATGCAGAGTCATTTCTCTTCGAGGGACTTGCTCCCTCTCCAATAGGCCTTTTTCGTAGCTAGGTTCTGGGATGTCATTGGAGCTGATGCATACTATGTGCAATGGTGGCTACAAAAGTTGTTTCTAAAAAGTCTAAAAGAGATGGGTGCATGGCTCCAGTGGTAGAGCACCTGCCTAGCAAGTACAAGGCCCTGAGTTCAAACCCCAGTACTGCAAATAAATAAATAAGCCTAGAAATGTTGATGGGGGGAGTAATTTCATGCTTTTTAGCTTCAATCAATAGTTATTTCCATTATGAAGAAAATGGCATGAAATGCTACTAGATATATATCAATAGCTATCCATCAACATCTTTTTTTCTTTCTTCTACTTTTATCTCTGTGTTGTTTTAGGAGGAGAGGCTCACTTGCTTATTTTGCATATGTGTACCTTCCCAAGCCTGTTGGCTTTGTTCATACACTCTTAGACATGCAGCATGCACTTTCTAGATACACGCAAAGCAATACGGACGATTCCCAGGAAGCCATGGCCATGCAACAGTGAAAGACATGAGGTTATGAGTAAGGCATTTCTTTATAGGCTAATGCGGCCTCTCAGCAAAGTTTTCATCCCCACGTGATGACTCTATGAGACAACAGAGCAAATCTCCCAGCAGTCACAAAGGCATTTTGCTGAGCCCTGTGGGCTCAGGCAACAATAGTTGGAGATGGGAATGTGGTGAGAGTTCTGTACTCAGAACCCCAGCTGAGGCAAGCTGACAGGCTACGGCTTGACAGAGTTGGTCCATTTCTTGTATCTTCTTGGCTAGATGCTGTGCCATCCTGAGAGTAGGAATTTTAATCTGCTCCTACAGGTATCTTATGTTAATAGTCTTGTTTTTCTCCTATAAATAAGTACCTAGGAATAATCAGGAAGTTCTTAATGGTGAAAGAGAAGGGGCACATGGTCTGGTTTTGTCAGTAAAGGGCCTTGACACCTAGTACCCTTCTTGCTCACCCATTTCATTTTGACCCTTCTTTTCACTGTCCTGTGCAGTACAGAGCACTGATGGTGGTTTATATAGAGCTGCGTATGTGTTTAGCATTCAGAAGGTCATGGTTTTTCCTTGAAAGTTAAAATAACTTGCTCTCCAAGATCAATATATTTCTTGCCAAACATATGTTAAACGAAGTTTTTCTTTTGATGAACTCATTTAAGGAAGGGATTTAGGGTGTACTGATCCTCTATTTTAAAACCTGTCTCAGTTGTTTACGATCTGGACAGAATTCAGCAAATTTTACCCAAGGCTGGAGAATATGATCTTCACTTTTTAAAGAAATCTTATTTGTAGCTTCATTTCTTTCTCCCTCCTTTCTAATAAGTCTATAACTCTATACCCTATGTAATAATTCACTACTGTGTGCTAGCGAATTATTTACATTATACTGTGATATAAATATTCACCTGGCAACGTACATCAAGCTTCATAAAAGATTTGCCCAAGATTCACAAGATGACATCTGCACTTGAGCTGTATAACGTACTCAGGGGAACAAATCCCTGAAGTGCACATTAGGATTTGTGGGGTTGTTTAAACCTTACCTGGTTGGAATTTAATCTCCTACTTTCAGCACAAGGACCAGAATGACACAAACAGAGGACACTGGCATCAAGAAGTACCCAACAAGCAGCTCCATTTAGCATCATCTAAATCCTCCATAATATGATTAACATCTGATATTTCTCTCTTTGTGAATCATATCCACTTGCAGCCAGGCCACCTCTCCTTTATCTGCAGTGTCTATTTTAAGACTGCTGCACTGCAAGGAGAATGGGGCCTGGGCAGGAATTTTTGTCACTTCTCATGTGACTTGGGACAAGTTATTTTGCACTATTCTGGGCCTGATTCCTCCTTCACTAAAAACCAGGCTCTTTCCAGAAATGTAGGAGGCAGGACTCAAGAATGTGGTCCTGTCTACTCCTCACACATGCTCACACATGTGTACACATGTGTACTCACTACCACATGTGATACCAATGTCATGCCATGCTTTTTCATTTAGGCCCTCCATTGGGCACATTTACTTACTAAAGCTTCAGATAAAGGAATCCCTCCCTTTCCACGCTATTGGGCATGGAGGTCACTGCTTAAGTGACATGCTTAAAAAGCCACCATTCTTATCATTGTAGCTTTACCAGTGTGGGCTGTGGCTGTGAGCCAAAAGTAGCCCCAGCTCCTCTAGACAAATACCTCAGCTGATAGCACGTGTACTGCTTTGCTCTTACATTGAAATTTCTCCTCTTAAGATCGAGTAAAATAAGCCCGTAGTTTCAATAGGCACAAGTGAAGAGGATGGCAAAGTGAAGACCCTGTGCACCTTGTTTCTCTTTCAGTTTTTAAGTGGAGAAGAAACGTGGTTGGGAGACTGAAGTTATGTCTACTTAATGTTCAAAGATCCAGTCAATTGCAAAGGAATATATTAACCCACCTGATTATTAGCTGGTCAAATAATAAAACGTCTTATTGTTTGCATTTTTATATTTCTCAATCAGTTGTTTATAGCGATAATAAAATAGCTAATATCTGTTGACTATTTACTAATGTCCCAGGCATTCTTTGAAGTGTTTTACCAATATTAACTTATTTAATGTGGCTAATAGTAACGACACAGATACTAGCAAAATAACAAGAAATGCTTCAGTTTGCCTAAAGCTCTACTGCTTTCAAGTTATTCTGAATGGGTGGAACTAGCAGGGAAGGAAGAAGGATTTGACGAAGAGGCTCTGACTCTCGTTTCTTCCTTGGGACTTTTTCCTTCCTTTCCTTCTCATCTCTATTTCTTGTCTGTTTTGGGCTCTCTGCCCCATCTTTGCCTCTGTCATAGTTTGCTGTGGCACCTCTGTCACTGCTTAGTCCCATCCCCCCTTCAGCCACTGCTGCTGATGGCTCTCAAGGCTAGAGAGGTTGCTGACCCCTGGCCTGCGGGAAAATAAAGCAGATGGAGACAGTTTATCACTGGCAAGGAGGGAGTGGCTTGCAGCTCTCTCCTTTTCAGGACCCTGCGTTTCCTGGCCTTTATGAGTCAGGACCTTCTAAGTGACAGGAGAGCTTGCTCTGCCTTTTGTATCAGTTTACACAATTGCCAAGATTCTTGGCACAGCATCCAGACTTAGGGTGGTGAGAGTTTGAGATGACCCAGGAGATGTGGAAGAAGACACAGAAGGGGGGAGAATGAATGACACTTTTAGCTTGTACTAAAGGGAGGAAAGTTGACTCCATGACCGAGGGTGCAGTGGGGCATCACACTTCTGAACGTAAGTTTGCAGAGCTATGCAGGAGAGGGGTGTGCAATTAAGAGATGCATCTTTCACTCCTGCCTCGCACATTTAATGAGATTGGCAACAATAAATTTGTCTTTCCAGGTGTTATGGTATATATTTCCGTGCTTCATTCTCACTTCACTTTGAAGAGCTTCCAAAACCAATTTTTTTATGGGGAAGGAAAGAAGGTTTGGCATTCTTTCCCAGTTTTTAAATCATAGTGATACTTCTGATGTTAGGGGCATATAAGCTGGATTTTATTGGGGTTTTTTGTTTGTTTCCCTCACAATTGGAGTGGGGATGGAAGGGTCTGATCGCTGTCAGGTTCTAAAGCCAGTTCTGTTTTGCCAAGAAGTCAATTAGAGCAACTGATTTATGTACCTCACAAAGGTTAATTGCATTATTTAAGAAGTCTGAAGAGCCTAGGTATGACTGCATATCCTAGGCTGGGTGCAACATTCTAGAACTAAGAGAAGGAGAATGATCCCAGAGGTTGGGGATGGGATGGCCTGAGTGTGAGTTGCACTGTTTCTCAGTCTGAGTACCATGAAATTGCTCACCCTCCCTTCCCCCACAGTGGAAAGCCAGGCATCCATTGGAGGCCACTCAGTTACTAGTCATTTACCTACAGGAAGAAGTCCAAGTTCCCAGTAAGAGTGACTAATCTCCCTCGCCCTCACTATGGCCCAGGTTTGGGTGGAAGGCTTAGAAATAAATAGACTGGAACTTGATTCATTCATAGTGGGCTCATAAATGCCACTTCCTACTAAATTGATATGTGGAGCATCTCACTGGGCAGGTGCTCTATCACAGAGTCTGTGGGTTTGACATTTTTCTGGTGACACGTGACAGGCAAGAGAGGTACTTCCACAGACCTCTTTCCGCATTTTCTCACTTCCTTCTTGAAAATAGAAAAAAGCAGCATCCTTCTTATAGAACCCCCCACAAACACACACACTTACTGAATATGTTTTGTGTGCTGGCCGCCTTTCCCCACCCACTCCTACTTTCAACCGAACCACGATGAAGAAGATTTAATATATTTGGAAGTCTTTCATTCAACATTGTGGTCTTTTTAAAAGAAGAATGAGGACAGGTAGATTTAAGAAGTGCTTCCCTCTGTTCCAAATAGATACTTAAATATGAGTGATCATATGGCAAACTGGCATGTGAGTGAAAACCTTTTACTGCTATTGCCATCTTTTGGCCTCAAAGCCACTGAGCTGTTTAAACGAAATCACACAACACACTCTTCTTGGTGGGTGGCGAGGAGGAAAAGAAACACCATTTCTTCCCTTGCCAGTCCCAGCACTGACAAGCCAAATTGATCTTTTTAAGGGACTAAATGAATGTTCTCTAAATATATGTACACACATGGCTGTCTGGGAACATACTCCTTCTACAGAACGATTGCTTGAAATTGAAGGAGAGATCAGGCCAGAC